GGAGTCTGATCTGTGGTTAGCGCCCCCGTCCCTGAGCAGCTCCTCCTTTGGGCCTGTGCCCCCGAGAGCAGGATCCGTGTAAAACAAAGTCCAAAGTCGATAGAAGCATCATCCACCTACGCTAGTCCCAAACTGGAAACAGCCCAAATGCCCATGAATATTTGATTACAGCAATTGTAGGGGATTTGTGCAATGAAAGAGTATGCCATCCGGAGGAGTCCCCGGGGCTTGCAAGCAGGAGTCCTGGGGACACTGCAGGGTGAGCTTTGGCCTGCTAATCACGAGGTCTGAGGTTCAAATCCAGCCGTCTCTCTGTGGGAGAAAGATGAGGCCGCCGGTTCCCAGAAAGATTTAGAAAGTCTCAGAAGCTTACTGTGAGTTGGAATCCACTCGATGGCAGTGGTTCGGTTTTTGAGGGTTTGGGGTGTTGGAAAAGGGTTAGCACCTGACCATTGGCAGGTGGGACCGAGCCTCCGGATCAGCCTGTGCACGTGCACTTGAGGTCCCCAGCACGCGGGGTCAGCCGGGAGTCAGACTGCTTTGACAGCAACTAATGGAAAGAGTCCTGGTGGTGCAGTGGCTAAAGCGCTTCACCGCTAAAGGAAAGATGGGTGGTTCAACAACACTCCCCCCTCCCACTACCCTTTAACCCAAATCCATTGTTGCGGGGTCAATGCTACCCCACAGCGACCCCATGTGACGGCGTAGAACTGCCCAGAGGCTTCCAAGGCGGCCGTCCTTGCAGGAGCCGGCAGCCAAGTCTTTCTTCCGCGCAACAGTCGGTGGGTTTCAATCACTTGTATTTTACTGATAAAACCCACAATCACTTCCCCGTCGGTTGCAGGTGCCAACTGGGCCCCCGCACAACTTTTTGAAGCCTTGGAAGCTGAGTGGATATCACCACCCACGTTTCCTGCCGGACCTTGACTTTTGGTCAAAACCCCAACCCCACCCACTCCCAGGGCGTCTGATTCTGAAGTGAGTTCCTGAGGTTGTCAGTCTCTGCGGGAGCAGACAGCCTCCTCTTTCTTCCGCCGAGCGGCTGCTGGGTTCGAACTGGGGATTTTGAGGTTCGCAGCCCAACCATCCCCAATTATGCCTTGCGGTTTTCGACTCGCTCCTCAAACCAAATTCAGGATAGCGGTTCTCAATCTGTGTTTCGCGACCCCTTTGTGGGTCGAACGACCCTTTCGCAGGGGTCGCCAGGTTCATCACAGTAGCAAAATTACAGTGATGACGTAGCAATGAAAATGAATTTATGGTTGGGGACTCACCACAACATGAGCTGTATTAAAGGGTC